TTCAATAAAATTTCCCACGATTGCTTGAGTTGCTAGTTCATCACAACCTCTAAAAGCACAACCTTGAGTTGCAAGCCATTTAACTACATCAATTGAAGCTTTAAGTCGTAATTGATTGTTTGCAACTTGTTGTGAAGTCTGCTTATGAAACACATGACGAATGTGTTGAGCTTTGATTCAACAAATCTTGAGAAGCTTTTTCATTGATTTTATGAGAAGAGTTGGGATCCTTTCCCTCATGATTCAAGAAAGCACAATCTTTTCCATTTACTTTCTTCCATCTTGAAAATCCACCCACAATAAACGTATTGTGCCCACCTTTATAATTTCCTGTAGGATTATAGAAAAGAAAACAATATAGACAAAAGGTCGCATCTTTTTTAGGAGAATACTCTAACCATTCTGAAATTTTTTTAAACCAACTAGGAACAAAGCGACGAGGTTGGTTTATGGTTCCAGATTTCTTGTATTCACACAATAGTGGTTGATAAGCACCAATAGTAAGATAAGCTTTTCGAATTCCATCTTGCTCTTCCAAAGGATATTCATAAATTTGCTTTCGTTTCCCTGGATCTCATTTGATAAGAACATTATCTATTTTAACTTCTGAAGTTTCTTCTTGTGTATGCTCTGTGAAAATGACTTGTGAAGCTTCTTGTTGAGGACTTCGATCCTCAACTATTTTTGAGGATGTCAATTCATTTTGTTTTGGATCTTCTTCTCTTTTTCTCTTAAAAAAAGATTCAATTGTGACTTTTTTTCCCATTGATATATTCCTTAAAAAAGAAGAAGAAATGAAATATACCTTATACTAAGAAAATTTAGATTTAAACATGAATGAATAGTGATCGGCAAAAACAGAAACATATTGAATAATGCATTAAGGCTTAAGCAGTAGAAATTGGTAAGATCCTAGCATCTAAATAACAAGTAACAGATTATAATAAAAATATAAAAAGAGAGAAAAGACACCTTCAATCTTTGACTAGCTTTGAATTTAAGCCTCGAGGAAGGAAATAGAAAAATCAAATTCTTTTTGCACCTACAAAGAAAAAAAATAAGAACTCAATTAATTTTTTTTAATCGGCAAATTAAAGTAATATTATTAAATTAAACAAAATGGGCACACAAGATGTGGACACTGTACAGCAAAAAGCTATAAAATAAACATTAGAGGAAAATTGGGATTTTTACTATCTCTTACTTGCACGGCTGCACAATTGCACAAAGCACTA